TTGCAGCTTTCTCAGCTTTCCAGTCATTGGGATTGAGCGTTCCTCAGCTTTCTCGACCTTTGCTATCAAATGATGCCCAAAATCCTGTGGAGCAAGGAGATATAAGGGCTGAGAAAACTGATGTTTCTTTTCATGCAGAAGAGAGCAAACCTCCTTCACCTAAGCTGGCAGGGGGCGGTTCTAAGACCTCTGTCAAAGTTGTTTCAGTAGGGGAAGATGTGACAGCAAAAACACTGGATTTCGGTCCAGTGGCCCAGGGAGGAGTAAACTTAACTAGCTCACTGCATTCTAAGGATATGGTAGATCCCATCCTACCAATCAGAAGCTCAATCCTCAAACCCACAGCTGATGGTAGTAGTGGCCATAATGGAATTGCTGATGCAATTGTTTCTGTACAATCAGGAGAAAATGGCAACCTAATGCAAGGGCATACACACATGGTGTGCGGATTAGAAGAACAATATGATCAAAGACGTAGTGATAACAAAGAGAAAGTGGGTGCTAAGGGCCCTATTACTGCTAGTAGTATTTCTGGTGGATTTGATTCTTTCTTGAATCTCTGGGATGCAGCTCCAGAATTCTATTTTGATATCCACTACAGCAAACAGGCAAGTCTAAATTCTGATGCCAATTTTGACGTACATGGTATTGCTGTCTGCTGGGAAAACTCTCCAGTGTACTATATCAAATTTCCTAGGGATCTATTGCAGTCTGATGATAAGGGAAATGGTGGCTCAAAAGTGGGCACATTCAGTGATACGGATAATGTTCTGCCAACCGAGAACTGGTTGGAAAGAGTTCAACAACGATGGAACAAAATTGGTGAAATCATGAAGAAAAAGAATGTCAGGAAATTTACATGGAATTTAAAGGTCCAGATTCAGGTGCTCAAGAATGCTTCAGTTTCTGGTAATAGGCTTGGCCATTTCAGTACTGGTCAACAAGATTTGGGCCTTCATCTGGACAGCTCAAACATATTGCTTTCTCCTACTAATATTAAAGAGGGAGTTGACTTGTCTATTGTGGCATGGATCCTTTGGCCTGATGAAGAGAGAAACTCGAATCCAAGTTTGGAAAAGGTTATATCATATTATTTCAGTAAATTTTCACAACAATTTCTTTGGACAATTCTTTTTGCATGTAATATTGCTTCACCTCTTATTTTATTCTACTTGTGTTAGTTATATGTATTTTGAGAAGCTTTTCAATGTCATTCTAATGCAGGAAGTAAAGAAACGATTGTCCGGTGAGGCCATTGCTGCTGCTAGTTGGATTGGCAGGTGGAAGAATCAAATGCGAAAAGTTGCACACAATGGCTGCTGCCGCCGTGTGGCACAAATGCGTGCCTTATGTGCTGTTCTTTGGAAACTGCTCATAGCTGAAGGACTTGTTCGACCACTGGATGATATCGAGATCCCATTGGTAAATCTGTTGCTTGCTGATGAGTGATTGTTACTGGAACAGATCCTTTGTTAGCAGATTTCTTTTCCGTATTTATTTATTCACACATTTATTTCATTTTTTCCCTGTTGAGGCAGGTGAACGTCTTAGCAGAAATGGAGACGTGGGGAATAGGTGTTGACATAGAGGGTTGCCTTCAAGCTCGTACTCTGCTTGGGAAAAAGATAAGGCTTCTTGAGAAGGAGGCTTATCAACTTGCTGGAGTTCATTTTTCACTAAGCACTCCAGCAGAAATCGCACATGTTCTGTATTCACGTCTGAAACTGCCATTACCTGAAAGACTCAAGAAGGGGAAGCAGCATATAAGCACTGACAAGCACTGCTTAGATTGGTTAAGGTACTGAAGTTGATAATTTCCAGTTCATTTTCAGCGTACCTGTGCAAGTTTTCTTTCCAAATTCGTGGTCAGCATCTTGTGTGCCACTTTAGTTTCCTCAAATTATGAAACATTAAGACAATATAACTGTTAAAAATTTGAGTAAGGTACCCTGAAGTACAATTTGGAATGACTTTGAATGCTTTTCATGTTAAGTGTTGGTACCTTTTTTTCTTGGCTTATGTCTAGCTGTATGAATTGAACACTTAAGCTCTAGTTGGTTTATGTAGAGGAAATGGGAAATGAGATATAGCTTTCAGTAAACGGTGCGACCATAACTCTTTCAGAAGCTAATATCACATTGTTTGGTATGCATGGTGACCTTCAACCTCTTCTTCCTCCTCCCTCCACAGAATGTCCATGTTGTACCAAGGGTACCATCAGCCAAGCACACATTATTTCTTACAGAGTCCTACCTGTGCTACTTTTTACGTGTATCTCTTAGATGACTTCTGTTCAGCTTGTTGTGTTATCTTCAGTCAACTTCTGTGTTTCGTGTGCCTCTCTACTCAATATAGGCAGAAAGCTCCATAAGTACCTGCTTCCTTAATGCTAAGAGATTTACTTTGCTTGCTCTCTACATTTGCAACTTAAAGTTATGCAACTCATGAATAAGTATTTGGTTCCTTGCAGACATGAACATCCCATAATACCAGTCATAAAAGAGCACCGGACCTTGACGAAATTGCTGAACTCTACACTGGGTTCAATATGCTCACAGGGTAAGCTCTCTCTGAAGTCACAGAAATACACCATTCATGGCCACTGGCTTCAAACTTCTACAGCCACGGGAAGGCTTTCAATGGAAGAGCCCAATCTTCAGGTGAGGGACAGATCAATTTGTATCCTATGACTCTATGACCTAAGCATGTTAGTACCATATCTTGTTACAATGATAATTTTGATAGTTGTGAATCATTTATTTGATTTCTGCAGTGTGTTGAGCATATGGTCGACTTCAATATGAGGACTGATGAGAGTGGGCATGACATTGATATTAAGCATCACAAAATAAATGCTCGCAATTTCTTTATTCCTACTCAGGTAATTATTCGGAATGTAGCTGCAGCTGTTTCGATTACCACAAATGCATGCTTGATAAGGAAAATGCAAATCAGAAGGACCCTTTATCGCAAATTGGCCTTTGATTGGCAAATCTTACATGGAGTACACTTGGTATCATTGAGAATGAATTTGTCTGAAGTTATGCTAACAATGACTGCAGGAGAATTGGTTACTTCTAACAGCAGATTACTCTCAAATAGAGCTCCGGCTGATGGCACACTTTTCAACTGACACTTCATTGATTGAACTCCTTAGCAAACCTCATGGTGATGTTTTCACAATGATAGCTGCCAAGTGGACTGGGAAGTCAGAAGACTCTGTTGGCTCAGATGAGCGAGATCAGACAAAAAGGTTGGTCTATGGAATTCTTTATGGTATGGGTGCTAACAGTCTTGCCGAGCAACTGGATTGCAGCCAAGATGAAGCTGCTGAAAAGATTAGAAGCTTCAAACACACCTTTCCAGGGGTTGCATCTTGGCTCAAGGAAGCAGTTTCCGCTTGCCGCCAGAAGGGGTACATTCCTTGTTGTCTGCAGTTCTACCTGAGCTCTTTTCTTGATGTCTGGTGATGTTTGTTTGTAATAGCTTTTCTTTTGAGTTTTAGTAAAAGTGAAAAAAGAGTGTTAGGTAAGGGTTTACAAAAAATCGAGTTGACCGGGATGAGGGGTTCTTGTCCAAAAGAAGATAGCGTATAAATAGAATGTTCATGTATGTTTGGTAAGGAATACATTCCTTTCTTCATCGTGTTTCTTGTTAAGGCACATGAATAGTAGGTTTCTGTTGCAGATATGTGGAAACTCTTAAGGGAAGAAAGCGCTTCTTGTCCAAAATTAAGTTTGGCAACAGTGAAGAAAAAGCTAAGGCTCAGAGACAAGCAGTTAATTCTATTTGTCAGGTATGACAGGATTCTTCTAGTTGCTAAGAACATTGGCTAATCACAAGTGTTCTAAACCACTGAATTCCAACAGGGGTCAGCGGCTGACATTATCAAAATAGCAATGATTACTCTATACTCGGTAATTGCTGAAGGAACTGATGGAGGAGATTCGGGTTCTCCCCTTGTTAGTGAGTTCCATATGCTGAAGGGACGATGCCGAATTCTTTTGCAGGTAACATTTTACGACCTCTATAACTTTGTTCGAAGTTTTGTGAAGTTGCGAGTGTTTGATTGAGTTACAACGCTCAATTTAGCATCCTTTGTGGCAAAAGAAATTAGAGAAGTGAGAACTATGGATTTTACACATTCAGGTACATGACGAATTAGTGCTGGAAGCTGATCCCTCTGTGATAAAAGAAGCGGCATCGTTGCTCCAAATTAGCATGGAAAGAGCAGTTTTTCTTCGTGGTTTGTATTTCTATATCTTCCTATTTTTGCCATGTATTAACGTTTTCCTTAACCCCTGAAACATCATTCTGACAGTCCAAATTGTTACCCTCCAGTTCCGCTGCAGGTCAAACTGAAAGTTGGACCAACATGGGGTTCATTGGAGCCGTTTCAGGCTGAGAATTATGCACTTAGTGTTGAAGATCCCGGTTCTTGATGAACAATTGCTTTTTCTTTGCCTGCAATTAAAACGATACTGATGATAATCAAGACTGAATCGAAGTCAACTGCAGCAGTGTGTAGTTTTATATACATGTAGGTGATTGATCCCCTTCTGATTGCTTACAAATTGTATATCGCAACCTTTCTCTTGGAACTTTATGATCTTGATCTTCTGATGATGATAACTGGTCTGTCGTGTACTGATTTCAGCAGAGATCAAACTCTAATGACGTACTAATTATGGTCTGATTATATCAAATTCCCCTTGCAGATCGTTCACTGTGGAATTAATAACTGCATTGGCTGTTGAGTGTAGGAGAAGCTTTCACAAAAATTCAGGTTAACATTAGTTGATTGATTGATAACCTGGTCAGGTATGCTCTCTTGCATCCTTTTGTGTCTTGTTATCCTCTTTTTTTTTTTTTTTGGGGTTTGGATATACAAATTCTTGCTACAGTTGTGACTTTCCCTATTCCTGCTGTTTGATCCTTGCGTACACAAATGGGTTAGCGCAACTCTGAAACCAGAATTTATTCTTATAATTAAACCCATTAACGTCTTTGATCTAAACTCCCTCATTACTCTTGGATATCCTACTGGTACTTTAGTTTTACTGTAACTCCCCATGCAAGTTAGACAAATAAGGCTGGTTGTTTTATTACTAAACGTATAGACTATAGTATATTCGTCCACTGTGAAAGCAAAGCATTATAACTTATAAGTGTACATAACGTGACTGTAGTAAATTTGACGAGTACATTATTAAATAAGAAAACCTTACAACACTCCAACTGTAGCTATCCTGAGCTGACCGATACAACTGGGCCGTGTTTGGAATTTGTTTACTGCAGGATAAACCTTACTTTTTGGGAACCCAAACAACATGATCCTGAGGAAGGAAGTGACAAACTGGAACGCTCCCTGGTTTAACTTTCAGCAGCTGGAAAGCCAAATGCTTGGGGTTCCACCCTGAAGTATCCGTATGACACACTGCGACTGCGTTCACCTTCTTCCCATCGGCGCCCTCCATAGGAACGACGTACGCCCTCGAGGTCTGGGTGGTGTGGCAGTAGAACACAGCGTAAGCATACTTCTGGTTGTGGCAAACCACAGACCTGTAACCTGGCAGCTTCTTCACTCCATCTTTGATCTCATACTCCTGCTTCTTCTGAACTTCACTGTCCTCCACTTCTGTAGAGATGGCCTCCACGTTCCTGCCGAGCTTCGAGGTGCTGAAATCGACCATGGACTCGAGCGACGTGGCACAGTACTTCTCCTCTCCTTTGATCGCGGGGCTCTCGCATTCCTCGATCGTGTTCTTCATCGTCTTGCCTTCCTGAGACTCCGGTTCGACCGAGAATTGGTTCAGGATCTCTGGCAGCTTTCCGGATGAAAATGGGATTGAGCCGGCCACTTGTCGAGGTAAAAAGGTGGACACGTGGCGGGTTTCGGTGAAGTCCAAGTTCATTACTTTGCCAGGATGGATGTCCTTTTCCAGGAAGAAGATTGCTGTGTTGGAGTTGCCGTGCAGTTGATCCGCGGTGGCGGCGTAACTGTACACGAATGGGTTCTTCCCCGGTTTTACTCCGACGTAAACGGGCCTTTTTCCTTTCTTCCCTGTGTGTACTGACACTCCGCCTTTGCCCACGCCGACGTTTGTTCTGCCGCCGGGCTTGCCGGTGCTGACGCCAACGCCGCCTTTGCCTACGCCGACGTTTGTTCTGCCACCAGGCTTCCCGGCGTTGACAGCAACTCCACCTTTGCCGACACCGACATTTGTTCGACTCCCGGGCTTCCCGGTGTTGACACCAACTCCACCACCTTTGCCTCCGACGGCAACACGAGTTCCCTTGCCGGTGTTCACGTTCACGCCGCTGCCCTTTCCAACGTTTACCGTTGTGCCACCTGGTGGCTTCCCTTTGGCTGTGTCGACGTTGACTCCGCCGGCACCGACGCTCACAGCGGTGCTCTTGTCTTCCAGGAAGTCTGCAAAAAGTGCAATTGTTTAAACGAAGGGGTTGACAACAGATAATTCATTCATAAAGTCATCTGGCAGACATCTGGTACGTTTATGGTCTCTCATTTGTTTCAGCTTTCAAGAATGCATGAATATACTTGTCTACCCTCTAGTTTGCATCATATCTAATGAATATTAAGGAGTCGTTTGGATGTGAGAATTCATGAATCGTCTACATATTTCATGGATGGAATATGATGAGAGTGGATTGTGAAATTCTACCTTTGGAAAACAGAGATTTGACATTTTTGTGTTAAATTGTCCAAGTTTTTGCTTGCCAAATGGTGATTGGAAGCTAAAGTTGGGAGCTTTTTTATTTCTGCCAGGACAACACTTCTAGCTAGCTTTCTAGATTCAGTGGATTGATTACCTGGCTCCAGAAGATCACTAACAGCTTTTGGCATGGGTGTGTTTGGCAGTACGGATTTCCAGTAGAGTTCCGGCGGTAATGCAGCATGGCTAGCCACAAGTGCAACCTGCAACACAAGAAAGGTAAATCTGAGATCTCCCACCAGGCAAAATGCAACTACTACTACAAAGAAGCAATGAAGTAGCAATCAAAGCATACTGTGAGAAAGCCAAGAATGTAGAGGGGATTGGACTTCATATTGTTTCCTCTTTTGATCCACTACAAACAGAGCTGAGATGGGTGTTCTTTGACTGATATGGCAAAGGGTTATATGGAGTTGGGAGAGTGGGTGGGAGCATTTATAGATGGCTTCTCAAGATAGTACTGGGAATCATCATAACAGCATTGTTACACACACCTACATTAGCAGCCACCGCTTTGAATTTCTCACTGCCAAACTGCCCCAGTCGCTCTCTCCCATTAATGAAGTTGGACACACGTTGGAAGAAGAGTGGTACTGTGATCAGTGGAGGCAGCATGGGACTTAAGAAAGTCCAAGTGAAGAAGTAAAGACTTAATTCTGCAACGACGATCGTCTCAAAGTGTTGAGGCGTCGGGAATGATGGGACATTTGTGATTTGGTTTTGTACCTTGGCTCGGGAGTTGGGGGTTTAGGAAGATGATTCCATATTTGCAGAGCAGATAACATACACTGATTCTGCATTTGGGTTGCAGCCATTAGCCCATTACGTAAGATGCTCGAACTTGATTGGGATGCTCAACTCAATCCGATTATCATCTTGTCCATTAGAGCCGTGAATCACTTTTTGTTGTTGTCATTTCGTCGATTATTAACAGATCCTTATCTACCTTCTTGGCTCGTATATGACATTTTTTCGGGAGTTTCCTAGCTATATTCGATTAATGTACCAGGTTGTGATACCATATCGAGCTCGGTCTCTTGTTGGAAGAAAAGGAACGGCATTTCATCATCTGATGTGGGGATCTGTACTGATATGATGAGTTATTAGAGGGGAGACTTTTATGATGTTAACACTGAAACAGTCGTGTTTAATTTTGCCATGGACTTTGTTGCTCCAAGTGAACAAACAACTACCATATTAATGGAGGTGGTCAGTAGCAGTTGAGGTAAAAGGGGACCGGCCATGGTGTTGGAATGAATGCTTCAGTTGGGAGTTATGGGGGTGACATTTGGAGCTTACTGAACTGTTTCTAGATGTATTTTTACAATTGCAGGTTTGAATTGAAGATGTCGGATTTAGGGTTCTAGAGATTGGGGGGAAAGAGTTGGCAATACCAAGATGATTGGTCAAGCTGCCTTTCCATGACCAAGAAGAAACACTTCGTATGAGCAAGCCACAATTGGAAATACAGTGGAGAAGAAAGAGGCCCAATAGCATCAGATTTAGATGGGCTATTGGATTGATTCATTCGAATGTTGAGTTGGGTCTATTTTTTTGGATCCAAAAACAAATGGACTGAAATGTGTTGTTTGGCATTAGATTGGATTTGGGGCTAGGTTGGATATTTGTATGTATCAGAAAATCAGAATTCATTTCCATCATCTTCCCCAAGGATTGGTAGGAAAACCGACTGAATCGGGTATTCACCAGAACCCGAACCGGTCAATGTCGGTAAAACTCGAATCGATTGAATTCAAGTTGGAGTCCTATAAAACATGAAATTGCAATTCTCGGACACATGGCGGATATGGATAGTCTGGTATTCGCCCCCTGAAGCTGCTCGGTACACTAACCTTCCAGACCCCTCGACTGCGCACTACTCCTCAGCGATCCAACAATTGGTCCCACCCTTCGAACCTCCAAACTACGCATTTTTGGATTTTAAAATCCGAATTCTCTATATCCTCCTCTCTTGTCCTCTCGAGTCCTTGTGTTCTCAGAGTTCTTCGACTCGGTACCGGATATTTGCTTGCATGAATTTGATACTCCCAGCCGTAGCAATGAGTTTTTTCAATCTTGAGTAGAAGTTTGGCTGAAATTCAGCCACCAAGCAATCATCATTAACAAATGCACATCTAACACCATTACAGTGTACTTTTTTTTAATACGTCCTTATGCCAAATCGATCACGATTTTAAATCCAAACAAACTGTGTCCATTGTGAAGAAAATGTACTAAATAGTAGTTTCACAAAATAATACAAAAAAAAAAAAAAAGACATACAAGGTTGCATATTACACAGACCATCATACCCTAAAAATTAGTTGACTTGTAAAAATCTCCCACGATCATTTGTGGCAAGGCAATCCCCTCTTACTCCGGCCAGCCTACAAATTAGCTTTCTATCACATAGCTGCACAATTAACACGCCAGTCTTTCTTACAAAAAAAGGAAACAATTAACCGTAAAAAAATCTTCTTGCAATAGTGATTTTCCTGATCAATCACTTTACAGTAATTGAGGAAATTCAAGACCAACCCCATTTCCAATGTTTCCCTTTCTGTGTTTATTATATATATGAATCTTACAGTCCAAGCAAAGATCAAGAAGAAGAAGAAGAAAGCTCCAGAAAGAGCTCTGCAATTCAAAACACAACAAACCCACCACCAAAAAAAAGTTGCCGTTTCTTTTGAATTTTTCATCAGAAATGGGACACAAGAGAGTGAAGATGGAGCTGATAAAGAACGAGCGGAACCGAATCCAGACTTTCAAGAAGCGGAAGGCCAACCTGATGAAGAAGATGTCCGAGTTCTCCATCCTCTGCGGGGTGGAAGCGTGCCTGATCACGTTCGGTCCGACGAGGACGACCGAGGCGGCGAAAGAGGAGGAGGGCAACGAGCTGGAGACGTGGCCCTCGGATCCTCGAGCTGTCAGGGCAATGATCCAGAGGTACAGGACCTCGGATGGCCCCAAGAGAACCTACCATCTCTCCGATTACTTCGCGGAGAAGAAGAAACGAGTCGATCTCGAGCTCGCCAAGATCAACAGGCAGATCTACCGGCACAGGTTCGCTCCCGGATGGGACTCCAGGCTCGACGGATTCTCCGCCGATCAGCTCACTGTCCTGCTGGGTCAGTTGGATGCCAAGCTCAAACTGGCCGATAGAAAACTCGCGAGCTTCAGCTCGGTTGAAGCTGCTCGTCGTTGTAATCGCCTGGAGTTCGATTTCAATCCCATGATGATGCAGTTCCCTCCTGTTGTTCCTACTGCTGCGGTTAGGAATTCGGACATCATGACCTTTGGTGGGGATATCGAGAAGTTCGGATTGTGTAACGATTACTTGGAAGTCAGGCAACAGCAGCAGGATAATAGTTCCCAGTCGACCCATCAGCAGGAGCAGCAGCAGAGTTCGTTTATGGCTCTGCTGAATGCGAATTCCTCCGACGCAAGCAATGAGATTCGGTATCCTAACCTACATTCCCACAGCGGGTTACAGCAGCTTTTGCCGGATGTGAATAGCTCCGGTGGTTGTTACTCTGCAGCAGCAGAAGAAGAATTGAGCCCGAACGAGTTGAGCAACGTTGGGTACCCAATCGATTTCGAGCTTTTCAATCATCATCATCATCAAGTGACGAAGCCAGTACCTGACATCCAAATGATGATGATGACGAAGTTTGGAAATTACGGTCAGGATTCAGAGACATATGGTTCGTTTGGTGCTGCTGCTGCTACTTATCCGAATCCATGGGGGTTGGATTATGGTGGTGAGTTTGGGATGATAAATTATTCTCATGATTGGTCGACGATGAGTTACATGACCCCTCCATTGAGCAGCTTTCAGCAAATTCTGCAGCAGCCGCACCAATTGCAGTTTACGACTGCCGGATTAGCTGCTGCTCATTACCATCATGGGCAGTTTTCCCAGCAAGTGGATGGTGATAGCTCTGTGTTTAACCAGAAGTGAAGTGCAATGGTCTTTTGATGCTTAGTTTCCTTGTAGTGTAGGTTTCAGTTTGGTGTCATAGGCTCTTGTGCTTTCTCTGGAGTCCACAGTGTTTCAAGAGTATCTAGTAGATGATAATGAACTGTCAAGCTAATTCAATTTCTTATTGATTAGGGTTTGTTGCTTCACTTCATTGCAAGTGTGCTTGATAGGTTTTCCAATAGAATTAGAAATGCGTTTCTTTTTACATTCTGTTTGTCAATTTTTTTTATAGATATTCTCATGGAACAAAATTATACAAAATAATAGTATTTTCAGGTAATAGTGTTGGGACTCCTGATATTATACAGATTACTGATTGTTAATTAGTTATAATAATGATTCAATCATGACCATTAAAACATTATTTCAAACAATGACGCTTTGAAAAGCTCCTTGGGAACTTTAAGCAGAATAAAACTCAATACTTGAAACAGAAATATAAGCCAGGGGAAGAGTACTAACCTTCGGCATTTCCCCGCTTCCTCATCTGTCTGAAATGATGTCAGAAACAAGCTCGCTCTGCTGTTTGCCGGAGGTCGAGCGGGCAGATCATCAGGAACATCGCCACAGTTTCAAGCAACCTTCTGCCAGCTTTTGGAATGGTGATCGACGAAGGATACTTGCAGCTCAAGAAATATGTCATCACTCATCACACCTTAAGACCACAGATACAGGTAGCTGTTGATTAGTAGGGATCAGCAGCTCATCTTTTGCTTTGATTCAACCTGAGAAAAGTTGTTAGTTTCTTACCTTTTCTTTATACATACGGCAGGATGTGGCAAACTTTCCTGGTGGTGTACTCTGCATGGCCATCCATCTTTGAGCTAGCTTTCATGAAAGCAGCAACTGGGACGCTCTCCCACATCGATATGGCAGTGGATGCTTTCTTTGATGTCGACATTGTCCGCAACTTTCTTTGTGGCTTATCTTGACATGACCACTTATCTTCTCGTCGATGATCACAAGAAGATTGCTGCAAGGTCTTATATACATGTTTATCTTCTCATTTCCCTCATCTTCTTGTCCTCTGAATGAACAAGCAATGAAATATGAGGTATCCAAACAAGAACCTGCTTCCTGAAAAGCTTGAAAGAGCAAATGCTGGCACACATGCAACTGCAGGATCTGGGATGTGACGAGCTACAAGAATGGTACAGAACAGGTACGTCCACGAAAAAACACTTCCATTCTCTTGTCAGGAAATTCTCAACATCTAACTCATAAGTTTGTGATGAACAGCTAAAGAAGAACCCACTTGTACTAAGCGTGATTACAATAGAAACAATCCATGAAAAGACTACATCTGATAAGAGCAAAAGTGGCCCAAAAACACAGACAATTCTGCCAAATAGTCTTTGACTCTGAAAAGTTGTGATCCCCACCCTCCAGAACTTGCATTCTGCAGCAGCAAAACAAAATGCTGATCAGCATATTAAATTCTAAAAATAATGGTTCAGTATATCCTAAAACAAAACTAGTCCTGATTATTTAAGGTTTTAATGCACCAATAACTACATAGATAAATTAGAATCAGAAACTACTAATGCCTAAAGGGGTGTGAAACGTAAGCCACAAGAGATTATGCAAGAAACAACAAATGCACAATCAGAAACTAATTGCCCTTTTCGTCCTATTTTGCGAGAAAGACTAACATCTTTCTTCCCTGCACATAATGACTACAAACCCGGTTACCAGGAGATTCTGCTTGCACTGTTCAATCATAACTAAAAGAAAATTTTAATGCCCTCCACTCATTTTAGCTAACTTCGGATGCTCAATTATCAAGATATTGATGTTAGCTCGTTGATGACTCACCACTGGGCCTTCAGCAACTGAGCTAATAGAGTTTTCGTTAAATTTTCTTATCCATGTTCATTTTTCAAGAACAGATGTAACTTAATTATCTACCAAGATTATACGGGTAAGAATCCACAGGCATCATCCAAAGGAACTTCCAACAGAGAAAGGTCCCTTTGGGAAGCTAGTCTATCTGCCAGATACAGTCGAGGAACTTCTAGGATTGGCAGGTAACACTGTATTATGAAATCCATCAATCAATAAAGAAGTAACATGTAAATAGCTATGGCATAATTTTTTCTTACACAAGCATAGATGCATGTTTGTGCAAAAACTATTTGTCTATTTCCACCTGACTGACCAAGCCAGAGGCAGTATAATGCCTTACTAACCTCCGCAAATGGTAATCACTAATCAGGGATAAAAACATTGCACAAGCACAGAAATATGCAACACAACAAATTTCATTCCATCATGCTGAAAGTACCTATAATGAGAGGACTACAGGCACTGACTAGCAGGTTTACAATATCACACACGGCTATACAACATGTTTAGTGGCATCTCGTAAGCAGTATAAGGAATTGCAGACACAATAAAGCGAGAGATTTTAACCTTGTATACACCTTTCCCTTGCAGAAAAGAAGTTTGGAAACAGAGGAAACAAAATTGTCATGGAGGATGGCACAAAGGTTGAAGATCTGGACGCCCTAAGAGAGAATGACAACTTGTTTGCTTTTTAGATTCCGGACTGTCATTCGATACGACTCGTATGTCTCTTCCTTATGGACTCTCAGACACATACTTTCAAAGGGTTTCTGAGCATATTATTGCAACTTTTTTGTGTGTAATTCCCTTCTTGTTTCTTTGATTCTAGGAATTGTGCTCTTGTGATTTTAACAATGCAATAGCCACAGACACCTTTGAATGTGTATATTAAAGCTAGAACTCTGAAGAATTAATGTTTCTTTAAGGACATGCAATCCTGCTTACCGTCATCAATGTCGGCGGTTGAGTATATCCAGAAGGGAATAGGCAGCTTTCTGGAACTTCTCTTTCTCTTCGTCCAAAGCTTTCTTCCTCTCCATAGCCGCCTCTTTGCATTTCCCAATCTCCTCCGTTACTCCAGCAGAAGTTTGGTCCATTTCACTGCAAACACAGGAATGCTTCAGCATCAGAGAGGGAAACCAGATCCAATTCCAACCTAGGGCTTAGTTATCCCGTCCACCTTGTCATCTTAAGCATCTCCGCCATTGCGTTCTGGACCTGCTGCGACATATCTGCGAACACCAATAGTAACAGACGATCAATTCCCGCAAACATTCTCTGATTTCAACATTCTGATAGAGCGATACGCATCTTATCCCACACTGATCGAAACTTCCCGAGAAAAATCATTTTCGGAAGATAAAAAAAAATCGACTCTGTGCGTAATTGGACAAACATCAAGATGCTGAGAGATCAATGGAACGGTTTCCTATCGCTCACTGACTCGTCTGGAGAAAGAAAATTCTCGAAATCGGACATCGCGACTGCAGATTCAAACAGCTTAATCTACGAATGCGGAGGTTAATCGAGAGTGGAAGGGAAACGAACCGTAGATGACGGAGGTGAGCTCCAATTCAGTTTCCGAAGACGGAGCGAGAACCATCGCGGATCCGGAACCTGTAGGTGAAGCAGCCATTGTCGATCGGAGTTGCTTGAGAGTGGATTGGAAGTTGGAACTGGAACCTCTTGGAAGCCTTTCGAAACTTTGAATTTTTGGATGAATGAGAAGCTGGCGGGAGCGCAAGTTTTCGCGTGCTTTTTTACTCTCTGGAGCCAAGCTTCTTGTATGTAGTTTTTTGGAAACGGAGTCTCGGCCCTCACAAACCCGACAAAAGCCGTTTGATTTGGGCCAAGTAATGTGAAAGGTTCGATTAATCAAGTTTGGGCTTTGAGGTTTTGAAAGGCGAGCCCGGCTCAATTTTCAAGCCTGCTAAACAACTCTTTTTGGGATGGACTCGCACGTTTGCTTGGGCTTTTGACTGTGAGCGTTACTTACAGTAAAAAAAATGCTAATGTTTCTTCTTGTTTTCTTGGCAAGGCTCGTTTTGATTGCAAAATATGTAGTCTTATGCAATGTCGTTGATATTTCTCGAAATGTGAAAAAACCTTATAACTCATTATGAAATCCATGTCAAATACGATTACATCGTACTAAACAATACGTAATATAGGGAAAGAAATATTGTTAGCTAAGTACTAAAAACGTAAAAGCTACTTAGCATTGTACCTTGACAATGGACTGTGTCACAGCACGTGTCATCTCGAGCCCACTTTCCTCAACTCTTGTCTTCTATGATTCATAAGTTTATCGTGTGAGTCCCAATTGTCAAATTTGATATATGAAATGGTTCATAAAATATACAAATTCACGTCAAACTAAACTTATATATTTTGTGTCCGTATTCGTACCGTACCATACCCTAACCATAATATGTCGTGCTGCGGTGCTAGTCCGTGGGCAACTCGACGGGGTGGCGGTACACTCACCAGTCGCCACCTACCATATCTCAATGACTCAATCTCAAGAGTTCTGTGGGTTTTCTTTCCCCCTTGCATCACCTACCTCATTCTCATCTTTTAACATGTGCAATTACAGCTTCTTACCTACCAGCCATACACATGAGTTTTACGTCCCCACGTACAGAGAAGACGACGCAGGAAAAGGATAAAAAGCCAAGAATGCAAATATCATCATCAGTCCATGTTCATAAATAGTTGCATTTTGCAGTCACAAAGAACCGAATAAAGGGGAAACAATGAACCTTGAACCACAGACTCTGCATGGAAAAGCTCAAACTATGTAAAAAATAGGCCCTACTTGCTTTATGGGTATATTTTTACCCAAAATACAAGAATCATTGAAATAATCCTATAATACCATACTTACATTAATATTCCTCAAAATATACAAGTTTTGGGGTAATTTGCTGTAGTGTCAAACGATTTTTGTGTTGGTACATGGGAGATCAAAGTTACGATCGTTTGAAAGTTTCAACTTTCACATATGAAAGGTGAAGATTACTGGAATTGGCCTCGGTTTTGAAGGCTGGATCGCATCTCTAAGTAGCAATTTGTGCATATCACGTTTGTTAGAAGCAATCTGGGTAAGATCGCTACAGTTTTCAGGGAACCGGTATCAGAATCGCTATTTTGAAAAAAATTAGTGGAAGTTGTATTATTAGAATCCGGGTATTCTCCTTTATGGATAATAATGTATCCATTCGCTTATAGATCTCCATTAGGGGGTGTACAATGATATGATTCGGATTAAACTCATGGGAACTGTGATTTAATAGTAAATGACAAATTAGAACGCATTCGATCTTGTCTGATATGTTAAAATGTCTTTTTCATTCATTTTTATTCTGCATATATAGAATTCATATAACCAACAACCGAAGCACATTACATTCGATTCAAACAATTTGATCTGATACAGTTCAATACGATCCGTTACGGACCAAACCATTCCACACCCTTTATCTCTCCTATAAAAAGCCCCGCCATGCCAAAACATAGAAGTACTCCACACTACACATATATCCAACCCCTCCAAAACACAAGGTCACAAACATGAAGAAAACCCAAAGCAGCCATTCCTTCCTCCTCCTCTTCATCACCACCACCTTCTTCTTCACCTCATCCATGGCCGCTTCCTCCCCCAAGAAAACACCCCTCACACCATGCAAGAAACTCGACCTCTACTTCCACGACATCCTCTACGACGGCCACAACGCCGCCAACGCCACCTCCGTCATCGTCGCCAGCCCCGTCGCCGGCTCCTCCAGCTCCGGCACCCGCACCTCCCTCTCCCCGAACTTCCACTTCGGCGACATGATCATCTTCGACGACCCCGTCACGTTGGACAAGAACATCCGCTCCAAGCCCGTGGGCCGGGCCCAAGGATCGTACATCTTCGACGCCAAGTCCACGTACTCGGTGTGGCTGGGCTTCGCGTTCGTGCTCAACAGCACGGACTATAAAGGCAGCATCACGTTCGCTGGGGCCGAGCCCGTGACGCTGAAGACACGTGACGTGCCGGTGGTCGGCGGGACGGGGGATTTCTTCATGCACCGTGGGATTGCGACGACGACCGACGAGGTCGTGGACGGGCATCTTTGTGTTGGGGTTCATGTCAAGTTTTACGAGTGTTACTAGTGATGTGGGGGGATTTGGGCCGGGCTTGTAGGTTTAAATGGGCTGAGGGAAGGAAGTCCATTTATCTGTTGGGCCTAAGCCTGCTGGAATAAGTTTGGAGTGATCATTGCTTCTGTTTGTTTTTAGCTCTCGTTTCTACGGGGGGCTCTAAAGCTGAATGATAGGCTTTTAGCATTTGACCCACTTTCAATAAACCTGTGTTTTGAGAACCGTTTGTTGAATCGAAAAAGTTAGCGATTTATAGTACGCTAATTGATTTTTAAGTATATGATGGTTGATTTAGAACGGTTAATATCCAATAAAATAGAAATAATATGTAGCAAAGCGTTCGAATTCTTCAAAAAAAAAAAAGAAAAAACTCATATAAAGAGCTTATCGAATTAAATTAGTAATTAAGGGCTAGTAGGTAATTTCGTAAAAAAACATAAAGGAAGAACGAAAGGAGTGTCTTATCGGGACAATCGTATTTGTTTCAGTAAATATGCTCTCCAAGCACTTGAACTTGGATCACTTAACACTAGCAAAGCAAGGAGGCCAGAAAATGACGAAGAGTAAGTAGAATTAAAATTAGTAACTAGTTAGGGTCGAATAGTTTTTAATTCACGTTAGTATTCTTTTTCATAAACATTTTGTGATTAAATGTGAACCGATAGAATAGTCAAGTTCAAACGAGAGAGAGGTTGCGTCAAACCTAATCAATTCATACATCGATCATTTAAATAAATAGACTGAATTGCTGTTGTAACGAATTTGACCATTCTAGTTGTCGCAGGATTTTTTTTTTAGTAAGGCTAAGGCAATAAATACACTTGCGATCTAATGTACTAGTTTATTGGGGCAGGCCGTTTTTACTGACTGCTTCCGCCATAGACATTCAATCAAGGCAACAACAAGATACAAGCATGCAAAAAAAAAAAAATAATGGAGTTGGAAGAAAAACCATGGCCAAAGCAGTCTTCTTCTTCTTCTTCTTTCTAGTTGTTTGTAGAATGTGACCAGAACTCCTGCACAAGTTGGCGGAAGAGGGAGCCTTCCTCATTCATCAGATTTTCCGGCGCATCATACTCTGCCAACTTCCCTGTTTTTTTTGTTTTAAAGGGAAGAACAAAAACAAACAAAGGTGATTAATTAGTTGTTCCACGTGCCACGGAATCCTGATTCCACAGCGTTATATAGAGATAGCGAGGGAGAATTTTATATGGTTGTTGGTGTGATACCGTCGGCGATGGCGAGAACCTTGGTGCTATCCATGACAGTAGGGATTCTGTGAGCTACAGTGATGACAGTGCACTCTGCAAACTCTGTTCTGATGATCCTCTGAAGGATCGCATCCGTGGCGTTGTCAATGGAAGCTGTTGCTTCGTCCAGCACCAAAACCTTGCTTCGCTTCAGCAGCGCTCGCCCCAGGCAGAACAGCTGCCTCTGCCCCATGCTCCAATTGGACCCTTCTTCTGCAACTGCAACACCAACATCAATGTTGGTAGCATTACTTCGCCATGACTTTGCTCGCCCCAGGCAGAACAGCTGCCTCTGAAAGCATAGTAATTATAGCTAGCTATTCCATTACCTGATGTGTCCAAACCTTCTTCCTTCTGCAGAATGGCTTCCCGGAGCTGGCATTTCTGCAGAACCTCCCATATTTCTGGGTCAGTATGCCGAGACAAAGGGTCCAGATTGTACCTCACAGTGCCACAAAAAAGAGTTGGCTCCTGTGGGATGATCCCAAAGTGTGATCTCAGGTCATGGAGTCCTATTGTGGCGATGTCAATCCCATCTATGACAATCCTTCCTTCTGTTGGCTCAACCAGCCTGAACAATGCACTGATGAGAGTTGTCTTCCCACTTCCAGTCCTTCCAACTATCCCAATCTTGTCACCTCCCTCGATCCTGCAGCTTATGCCGCGGAGAACCAGTGGACTGTTCTTCTGATACCTGACTTTCAAGTTACAGATCTCCACTTGGCCGTGGCTTGGCCAGTTGGCTGGAGGCCTTGCAGCCTCAATCACTTGTGGAGCTTCACTAGGAATGTGCATATACTGTTCTAGCCTTTCTACTGAAATGATTGATTCTGCAGTGAAGCACTGGTAATGCACTGCTACTATGAGGAACACATTGAGTGACAGACCATATGAGAGTGCCATCCCAACCAACCCTGCAGAGGGAAGGAAAAAAGCCATGTGAGATTTACTGAACTTTAATGTCTTCACCATGAAGTTTTTAAGGGTTAATGTTACCTGAAGCAGAATCACCAAGAGGAAGCAAAGTCATGGCGAGTGCTGAAGCCGAGAGAACGATTGCGCAAGGGATCTCGAGTCGTTGGATCAACCACTGGCTCGCGGAGAAGGTGTGGAAGTAAGTGCTAGCATTGCTGTCAACGAGAACGAGGTTCTTTGTAAAGAATCTTTGTTCTGACAAAATCCTAATGCAAAGCGTATGAACGTAAAGAGACACAAAGTTTTTTAACGTGGTATCGTCGGTGAGACACTAGTCCACGGAGAGGATCTCCCTCTCAGGTTTTAGTATTATGTTTTTCGTAACCTCTTCTGTACAGTTCGGCACATATATATAGGGTTTACATCACAAACCCTATTTGGCTATTTACAAAGCAGTCCCTATATTTAACACCCTCCCTCAAATTGATGTTTGGTTCTCAACATCAATTTGCAAGAGAGATACCAATGCCTGCTTGATGAGACTGCTTTTGTCAGAAGATCGGCAGTCTGATCTTCAGTTCGCAGATACTGTAGCTGAATAACTCCCTCCCCTACTAGCTGGCGTATATAGTGCACATGAACCTCTATATGTTTGGTTCTATCATGAAGAACCGGATTGAGAGCTATCTGCATTGCACTGGTGTTATCCCCATTGAGTACCATTGGAGCTCGACATTCTATTCCCAAGTCTCGAAACAAACGTTGCAGCCACACCATTTCAGAACTGACCTCAGACATTGATCTGTACTCGGCTTCGGTAGAAGATTTTGAGACCTTATCTTGTTTGCGACACCTCCATGAAACAAAGGACTGTCCGAATCGAATGCACCAACCTGACGTTGATCTTCTTGTATCTTGGCACCCGGCATAATCTGCATCTGCAAAAGCTTCAAGAATAGATTCACCACCAGCTGGGAAGAATAAACCAACCTCTCTTGTCCCCTTTAGGTAGCGCAGAAGACGATTGACAGCATCCAAGTGTGAGGTTCGAGCTACCCCAACAAACTGACTTATAACCTGCACTGTGTAAGATATGTCGGGCCGTGTATGTGTGAGGTAGATAAGACTTCCCACTACACTTCGGTAGAAGGATTGATCTTCCAATAGATCTCCACTCTCTCGGCTAAGCTTCAAGTTTTGCTCCATCGGTGTAGAACATGGCTTGCAGTCTGTCATTTGTGTAGATTCCAGCAAATCTGTAATATACTTTTTCTGACAAACAAATAAACCACTCTTCGACCGATGCACTTCCAATCCTAGGAAATAAGAGACATCTCCCAATTCCTTAAGATTGAATGCCTGATGTAATGATTTCGTCAATTCTTTGATGCCATCCTGATCGTTTCCAGTAATTATCATATCATCAACATAAAGTAGCAACGCTACTATTCCATGCGTAGTGTGTCGAATAAACAGTGAGGGATCATTCTCACTTTGAGTAAACCCAGCTTGCAGAATAGTTCCATGAAATTTTTCAAACCAAGCTCGTGGAGCCTGTTTTAACCCATACAGTGAACGATTCAGCTTACACACCATGTTTGGTCCTCCTTTCTCATATCCCGGCGGCCGCTCCATGTAGATAGTTTCTTTTAAATCACCGTGTAAGAATGCATTCTTCACATCAAGTTGTATAAGAGGCCATTCTTTCATAGCCGCAACTGCAAAAATGCTGCGTACTGTTTGCATCTTAGCAACAGGAGCAAAGGTCTCCTCATAGTCAACTCCAAACTCTTGTCGAAATCCTTGAGCAACCACTCTTGCTTTGAACCTTTCCACAGAACCATCTGGATGCATTTTTATATTATAAATCCATCTCGACCCAATCACAGACATCTCTGGTCGGCGAGGAACGAGATCCCATGTTCTGTTTGCCTCCAACGCATTTGTCTCATCTGTCATTGCCGATTCCCATTTCTCATGACCCTTTGCGAAGCGATAGTGTGATGGGATGGGAATAGACTCAGTTGAATAACCCACATAATCCAGGAGCTTTGTTGGAGGCGCACCTTTGTTGACCCGATCAGACCTGCGAGGCAAAGGTAAGGGTGGTGGGGTTGGTGTATGCTCAAACTCTTCTTCCTCCATAACAAGGGCGCCATCATCATTGTTTGAAAAGCCACTAGAACTTGAACCAGAGCCATGTGAAAGTGAAGTCGTAGCTCCATCAGGAGCGGCACTAGAAGACGAAGAAGATGTTCCATGTGAAGAGGATGAAGATGCCGCTGTGTTATGAAGAAATAAAGGTGTACCAGGTGGAGAATTCACCAAATTATTGTCATTATCACTTCCCTCTGGTCCCCCTCCAGGAGGATCAGCACCTGCCGCATGTGGCGTTACCTCCGGAAACAGTGATGCTAGTGGAGCAAGAAACTCATAGGGTTGCTTCGGAGACTCAACTGATCGTGGATAATACATAACTTGCTCCAGGAACACCACATGACAGGATATACGCATACGGCGGTGTTGAGGATCATAACACAAATATCCCTTATGTGCTGGACTATAACCCAAGAACACACATCGAGCCGTCTTGGGTGCAAGCTTGTGTCGTTCTTTCTTTGGCAAGAGAACAAAGCAGACACAGCCGAACACACGGAGGAAAGAGTAGTTAGGGGGCTTGTGATAGAGTGCCTGATAAGGAGAACGATTCTCGAGAACTGGAGTAACCTGCCGGTTAATTAAATAAACAACAGTCTTCACTGCTTCAGTCCAGAATCCGCTCGGAACCTGTGAGTGAAAGAGAATGGCACGAGTAAGCTCAAGGACATGTCGATTTTTCCTTTCCAC